GCCATAGATGCATGCTGATGCCAAATTCATCTCAACATCTTCCCAAATAAAACAAGTTCTCCACTTCCCACTCAGCAGATGTTTTAACAACAGCAGACAGAAACCAAGGAGTTCTGGAAGTAAGGGGCCAAGCTGAGGGAGCTGGTAGCTGCAGTGTTTGCTTTCAGCAGCAAGAAGCACAAACATCATTTGTCTGGGAGCACCATGTTATGCAAGGCACAGAAGACTCTGAGAAGTCCCAATACTTGTCCTGGCACTGTCAGAGAAGTTAGATGTACTGTAAAGCTCTTGTGTTTTCTTAAACATCATATGGCCTCCCTGTCTTAAGGGACCCAACAGCCATTTCACCTCCTCAGTGCTTGGCAGCATTCACATTTCCCTTTGTTTTCTTACACAGTGCCTCTTGTTTGTTTTCTTATCCATGATACGTTTTCTGCAGCAGTGAGACTCATTCTTGGAAATGATGGGCACAATCCATGCGTCCTACAGTAGATACTGTCCTGAGAGGTCACAGGGAGAGCAGTGTTCACCGGGACACCAGTTCCAGAAATCACAGCTCTTTAGCTTTTCTCCTGCACCTTCATCCTCTACTTCCCAACAGCATGTTCTAGTCCTTCCTCTCAAGACTGCTGCCTTCACAGAAGATGGGACATCCTCCTGAGCCATCCATCCCTGCCCTGTGCATCAAGATCCTCTGGTCTTGGCATTCCACAGCCCTGAGCCTGTAAAATCCAAGCACTCAGTGCTCAAGACAAGTGCTCAGGCCCCTCTAGCTCTATGTCACCCACCTCTTGAGTCTGCCCCAAACATTAAACCAGGTCCAAATGGGATATCACCATGTGCATCGTCACAACTTCATGTGTAACAGCTTCCTCACAGTAGAGCGTGGGGCGGGTTCTAAAATTTGGGGTGCACCTAAAGAACGTTCCCTCATGGTGTACACCATTGTTTCAGGTATAAAACAGTTCACTGATAGGAAATCCATGATTTCCAGTATTTGAGATGCAAAAACTATACTGGCTGCTGGAGCTGTCACACCTTTTTTGGAGAGCCACTAACTAGCAGCACTAAATAAGTTTTTAACCCCTTTTAGCTTGTAACAAATAAATTAGTAAAATACCTTAGCAGTTAATAGCTTTTAACATAGCCATTCAATTGATATATTCCTACTCTTGCTGTTGGACTGCCCAGGCTGTTGGTGTTTCCCTGCTAAGGTTCACAGCCAACTGCAGTTTGTTGTGGTGGCCTTGCCAGATAATACTCAAAGGGTTGGTTGCTTGATAAATGCTAATGGGTCTTCAGAAGAGAGATCCAGGGAAAATTTCTTCACCATGAGGGTTGTCAGGTGTTGGAACAGGCTGCCCAGGGAAGCGGTGAAGTCATGTTCCATAGGGGAGTTTAAAAGACCCTGTAGATGTGGCTTTTGGGGACATATTTCAGTGATGGGGTCAGCAGTGTTGGGTTAATGGTGGGGTGTAATCTTTAGGGTCTTTTAAGCCTGAATGATTCTGTGATTCAATGATCTGATAGTTAAAGAAATTTAAATATCCTTATTTGACATACTGCTGTTTTGCAATGCCTGTACCCATGACAATCCTCACATCTTGTTCAATGAATTGTCAAGCCAGGACAATTGTGGTGATGATTTTCTCGGGACAGAGAGTGCATAAACCCCACTTCACTGTTACCTCAGAGCCTCATCCAGGTCTGAAGAAAGCTTGCTCTTTCCACTTCTTACAGGCACAGATATCCAAATCTGGAGGGACTTTGTAAGGCTATCTAAGCCAAGTACCAAGAAAACTCATGTCTGGTGATGAATCTGTAGCTATTGCATTCATTTATTTTTAATTGTACTTGAGTCACCAGCAAACCTCCAGGCACTCTGAATACAAAAGTCTCAGCATTTCCTAGTGCCCTTTATCTGCTTTGTAGTGGTTATTCACCTCTGACACTGAGTGTTGAATCAAGAAACACAATATATACACAGAAGTAGAGAATCCACATAGTGAACATTACTCTAATTTCAACAGCTATTTCTTCCAGTACACTGGTCTTTATATTTTCAATTACTGGTATAAATGTAAGTAACTGCCTCTCCTGAATTATGAGTTTTATAAAAAATAAATACATGTAATTCATTATTGATTCTTCAAATGCTGATTTTTCAGACTTCATGATTTCTCTGAAACCCTAGGCATTATTCCATTATTGGTTTATAGAAAACAGAAAGACTATCTCAGTACAGGACTTTCAAAACATAAGAAAGATGAAAGAGAGAGAGAGCATGAGAAACAGAAAAGATTAGAAAAAAGAGACAACTAATAAGGCAATATTCAGAGCAAGACTATGGTATTTACCTATCCTGTCAGGACACAGGTATTTGTGGTTTCCATCTTGTCACATAATCTTCCCAGGAGCAGACTACAGAAAGTAAGAAAGAAGCAATGACAAATGATGAGTCCTGTTTCCATCCTGAAGTTTTTATCATCTGTTGAAGCAAGTAACCTTTAGCACTCTTAGCAAATCATCACTGAAGTGCTTCTGGCAGCATTTTGCATTGTCAATCCACAGAGCTGCAAGCAAATCTTTTCCTCCTGAGGGTAACCAGCAATAGGAAGAAAATGGAAGTCCTTGAATAACACAGAGGGTTAAAACAAATGTTAACATTTATCCTTTGAGAAGGAGTTGATCAAATACAAATTTGCAGACACAGAATGATGCTTAAGAAAAAGCAGAGATTATCAGAAGCAGGTAGAGCACTGGATACAAGGGATGGCTGAATAACTCCCTTGTACAGACTTCCCAAGACTTCCCACCAGGCATATGGTGTTGCTAGAGACAAAATATTAAGCCAGATGGACTTCTGATCTAATGAACATTCCGGTGTTGTCATCATTTGGGGTGGAATTTGACAGCATGCTCAATACAAAGCAAAGCGTGGGCAGTCTTCAGTAAAGGATTTAGGACAGCAAATTGCATGGAGGTGTGGTTTACTGTTTTTATACCAGCCTTTCTCATTCAGGCTTAAAAGTTTAGCCAAATGCAGACATTGGTGACAGTCTGAGTGAGAGATGTATTCCAGTGAAGACTTTATCTGCAGATCAGATGTTGCATTGCAGTTGGCATCACTAGGTGAGCTACTAACTCACAACAAGCACCTAAGTTGGCTTGGAAAATGCCAGTGTGGTTCAGTGTTGGATCTTAATGGAGTTTTCAGTCTCTTCACTGAAACTGTGAAGAAATAAAACCTAAAAAAAAAAGTCCTGACTGTGGAGATGATCTTCTTGGGACAGAGAGTGCATGAACCTCACTCCAAGTTCCTTCTTTCAGCAGGTCATCTTCAGTGTCTCAAGACTGGGGCTGGCAGCATTGTGCTGGAAGTCTCCGTGATGTATTGTCACAGCCCAGCTCCTGTTATTTATGTTTTCTGGCACCTGAATGCTGCTCCCACACTCCCAGGCAAGAACATTTCCCTCTGTGCCCACAGTCCTTCTGGCACAGCACTATGGCCAGCTCCAGATGGAGGCACACCCTGCATTGTTTGTCCCACAGCCGTCTACACCAAAACACATTAAAAAAAAAAAGCAAAAAAAAAAAGCCAGGACTCCCTCCATACCCACAGACTTGGAATTAGCCGCAGGTCTCATTCCTGGGTTGCAACACAGGGACCAGATCAGCAGACCACAGGGTGATAAACACCTGCCCATTTTAATTTTCAATTTCAGGTAAATATTACCAGAAATACAGCATCCAAAAGATCTTTCCCTGTTCCTTTTCAGACTAAACTGGGTGACAGACAATTTACATCCTGCCTCTGTCATTCCTAAAAAAACTGCAGACATTCTTTTATCCATGGGGTCGTTGAAGAGAAGACTGGGAAAGGTCTTTTTATGGCTTTGTAATGCCCTGCACTCTGTTCTGCTTAGATGATAATGCAGAGGCCAGATGGATTGGCAGAGTGCTTCTTTGCTTGCTTTTTTCCAAGCAGTGCATAGCTGTGGAGAGATCATCTTTCCAAGCTGCTGTGATGTCCATGAGCCTCCTGGGAAGCAAATAAAGCGTGACTGCTTCAGCCTTAGCTCTGTTTGGCTTCCTGTGCTCTGAAAGTTTGGCCTGTTAGAGGCTGGTCGTTGCTGAAGGGTTTTTAATTAGTGCAGATGGCAGCACTTGGCCAACTCAAGGAAGTGCTTGGCATAGTGGAAGATGCTGCCTGACTCCTCCATGGCAGCTCGAGTCTTCCTCCAGGAGCCACTAAGTGCTCCAAAAGCAAACAGAAACTTCAGAAAGAGGGTCTGTGAAACCTGGACTGGCCTCCTTGGGGCTGCAGACTGTGGAGTCAGTTCAGAGAACGGCAGGGCACAGAACTGCAAAAAGACTGTGTGTGTATATCCATGGCTGTAGCCTGGGCCATGCAGAGTGGAATTCTCCCTCCTTCTCAGTGCCAGGGGAGACTTTTTGGTGACCTTTCAGTCCTCAGTTTGTCTGTGAGGAATGGCAGCCAAGACTGTGATATGGTGTCTAGACTTCTAGAAATGAACTGGGGGTGCTACCATTCTGCAGAAGGTTAAATTTGATCTCTGAGAACAAAGTGAAACATTCTGACAAAACAAATCTAAGCTGGGTCCTTTGCTGGATACCCAGAGTCCAGAAGGTGGATTGTAGCCAGCCCAGAGGCTTCTCATAACAGTTTCTGAAACATTGTCTGTTCTAGAGACAAATAATCCCAATAGACACTTACATTTGGGTGTTCAGGGTGTTTAATGGGGATTATTTTCAGCATTTGAAGAAAACCCTGAGAGTACACAGACAAGCTATTTAGTCACTTGGTAAGTCTTTCCAGGATTTTCCTGGGGGGTGGGAAGCTGCCTGCAGGAAACCACCCAAAAAGGCAGGTCCACGAACTCTGAAGATTTCTGGGGAACTGTCAACACACTAGAGCGAGACACCAGATGTGATGGTAGGCAAATGGCTCTGCTAACCCTCTCCTGTCCTCCCCTCAGCTCCACCACCCGTCCCAAGGGTTCCGGTTCGGCACGGTGCGGGAGAGCAGCGCTGAGGACTACGTGAGGCAGAGCTTCCCGGAGATGCACGAGTACATGCGGCGCTACAACGTCCCTGCCACCACCGACGGGGTGGCCTTCCTGAAGTGAGCCCCTGCCAACAGCAACATACGTGCCCCCCGGCCAGCTGTTATGATCTGGTTATTAAAATTGTTAAGAGAGATGCTCAGTTTAAGGTGAAAATGAGGCCAAAGTCAATAGTACTGATTTTATATGACAGTAAATGTGAGAGAAAGAGAGGGAGAGAGAGAGAGAGGGAAACAGTGACAGAGAGACAGATACAGAAAATATCACCACTCCATGGATGCCATGTCCCTCTGATCCTCTCCTTCCCAGTGCTGAGGGTCCCACAAAACATAGGAGTTGAATGAATTAGTACACATTTAGGCCAGGTGGGAATGCCTGCCCGGGTAGGGCGTGCCATCAGGCAAGGGCAATGTATAAACTCCTGGCAAGTTCCTGAGCTTGGGAGCCCTTCATCAGGCAGTGAGAAACATTCAGAAAAAAACATCCAGTCCAATAAAAAGCTGCCAATGAGGTTCCTCAGTGTGGTGGGAGGAAAGGAGGTTCTCAGGGATGAACCATAATTTATCATTAAAATGAATAAAAGAAGAACTAGACTGGTAAAAAGTAATAAAAGTCTTGTTGCTTTACAGAATCATGGTTTCAGTGTACCTCAGAAATATTTGTGCTTAACAGTCTGGGGGCCACACAACTCTTCCAGGAAGCCTGGGAGGTGGTAATAAACCTGAATCATTCATTCATTTTATCTTAAAAGTTGCCCTGCAGATGGCCTGAGAACTTTTCACCACAAGCTTTTTCTTGCTGTTTCTTGTTTATATATTTCTCCTCAGAGCCCTCCTCTTGATAATTAAGGCACATGTCAATTCTTTGGGTCAAACTGGAGTAAATGGATTGAAATCAATTAAGTAATCACATCAGGAGAACACTCAGACTTTTAAAGGGACAGGAATGGAGAGTGCAGTCCTGGGATATCAGATGAGAACAGGCACTGCAGCTGTTCTTTTGTATAATTATTTTTGTCTAAGCATGCTGTTCAGAAATGAGTATTTTAGTAAAATTCAGTCATTGCTGTTCATGAAGACAATACAAGAAAAAGATAGATTTCCTTACTTGGGTGAAAGAAATACTTTACCTCATATTCAAGGAGAAAGGAGGAGAAATGCCTTTGAATAAATTATCCTTCTGGTTTTTCGCTCTAATATCCCCCAAGTTTAACATCACAAAGAAACAAAGGCAGCAACAGTACTTCAGCAATTTTTTATTTTCTCCACTAAAGCCTTGTGGCACTTTTGATTGAGTCAAAGTCCAACATTTTGTAGTGATTTTTGTCTTTCAGAACAATAATATTTTGTGGGAGCAAAATAAATCCTAAACACACTGACTGCTTTTAATGCACAAAGTTTGCATTTCACGCACAATTCCATCCTTTGAAATACAAATCAGTTTTCATTTTCAGTGTAGATGTCCAAATAGCAGTCCCTGGTCCCCGTTTTCATGTTTTTCAAATTACTGTCTATGCAGTAATTTTCCAGAAAACTGCATAGACAAATGTTCAGTGTCACTTGGACAGTGAAGTGATTGTGTTTCTGACTTTGGTGTTGAATTCAGGCACGATCCAGAGAAACTTGATGCCTTCATCATGGATAAAGCACTCTTAGATTATGAAGTGTCAATAGATGCTGACTGCAAGCTCCTAACTGTGGGAAAACCCTTTGCCATTGAAGGTAATAACCATTTTTATGACACACCGCTCTGTTCCTCATGTGCTGAATTTGGTTTGTTGTACTGTGGTATTCTCAGTGAAAATATGGAGGTGAAACTGAGGACCCCTTGAGGATTATGACAAAATCTTCAGTGATTGAGCAGAACAAAAGCTCCAGCCTTTTCTTCTGTTTTTTTTTTTTTTTTTTTGGGGGGGGGGGGTGTTTTGTTTTGTTTGTTTGTTTTGGGGTTTTTTGTTTGTATTTTTTTTGTTTTGTTTTGTTTTGGGGTTTTCTTGTTGGTTTTTTTTGTGGTTTTTTTGGTTGGTTTTTTGGTTTTTTTGGGTTTTTTTGGGGGGGTTGTTTGCTTTGTTTTTTGGTGTTTGGTTTTTTTTTTTAATTTCCACCTTCCCTTCCGGCAAAACTGTGTCCAAATGCTTTTCTAAGCAGAACCAGACAATGCTTTTGATTGTAGCCAGGATGTTTGGTTATTCATGATATTGCTTTTTTGCATGCTGGGGGGTTTTTGCTTATAATTTTTATCAAGCAAGTTGTTTTCTAGTGCTGGAATGGCTTGCTCTGCTGTGCTAAACACTCATTGTGTCTGTCACATGCTTATCCTATTTCAGCAGGGAGAAATCAATAGGAATTGATTTGAGAATGTCCAATCTTATCAAGTATTGATCAGGGTGCTGGGCCGAGGGCTGAGCTGGTGGTGTAACATCGGTTTTTTTTGAGATCTCATATCACTTTTACCAACAGTTTCCAGGCCAGGGTGGAGCTTTGAGCAGCTTGGTCTACTGGAAGATCCCCCATGGCAGGCATTGGAATGAAATGGTCTTTTAGGTCCCTTCCAACCCAAACTATGCTCTGATTCTATGATTTGTTGCCATGCTGTATATAGAAATTATTCCAAGTGCTCAGACAGTGTGTCTGCAGACAAGTAGGAGGCAAAGTCCATTTCCCTGCTTGTCATGAAATAAAGAGGCCCTGAAATGAGTTTTTTTTTCCTGCCAGCCCTCTTTATTGATGTGTGTTCAAAACCCTGTTTAAATGTGTTCAAAATGCAGCTCTGCAGTTTCACTCTCATCTGAAACAGGCAAATACTGTTCTCATCTTAAAGGTCAGCTCAAGATTCCCACTTGAGAAGGGAATTGAGAAGGGAATTGAGAAGGGAGCTTGGTGCTTGGCCTGCAGCCTTGAGAAATTAGCAAGGACAGGTCAGAAGGCAGCCAGGAAGCAAGGCTGGTGTGAAGTTGTTTCCAGCATGGATGAGCACATGGGCAGCAGACTTTAGAAACCACTTTTGTGATAGATGGAAGTGGAAAGGACTGGTGCTTCCACTTTCCTCCCCTCCAAGGGCAATCACTCCAGCTGCTCCCATCACACAGTAAAACAACCTTCTTCAGAAATCTGATAAATTCCTTTCAGAATCCTTTCTGCTGAAATAAAACCAGAAGCTTCCACAATTTCAAATCAAGTAGGTTAGATTTCAATATAGAAAAAGAAACAAACAAATAGACTCTGAACTGCATGATTTTGGATGACTGGATTTCCTTCATATCACCCAATTACAAAAAAAGTATGCTAAAAATGTTTATGAGTCGTAGCTGTGCTAACTCTGAAACAAATCCTTTGATGTGAGCAAATTTATTCAGGTGGAATAACAGGCACAATGTAAAAAACTCAGCAGCAAAGGAGAACCATTGTAGGAACAGTTATCACCTCATCAATCATTAAAAAGTGAGCCACTGTCCTGGAAAATTCAGCTCTTGTCTGTTTGTGAGGGTTTTTCCCTTCTTCCAGTGTTGTTGTGGGTTTTTTAAGGAGACAGTCTGAAATTCTGAATTCGGAACTGAAAAACAAAAATACACAATGGACTAGAAATTAATCTCTGCAGGCAATTGGCATGCAACTGCATGTCTTTGAGGGATCAGTTGCATTTGTTTAAAATTTCTAATGTCAAACTCCAGATGCTGCAAATAGAAGCACTGCAATCAGAGTTACTGAATTCATCTCCACTTACACTAAGTCTTTTACCTGCACTTTAACATGGTGAAAGACAACACAGTGACTAAAAACTGCATTTATTAGTATCTGAAAGTCCCTGTCAGTGCCAGAGCAGAAGTGCATGAACTGACAGCATAGCTCCTGGGCTTTAAATTACTGTGTGATAACAATGAAGATTGCTCCTGTATATATTTACATGCATACAGCTCCTCATCAGAAAATGCGTTAGGAAGAAAATGTCACATCTGACACCACAGTCACATCCACTGCTCTAACAATGCAAGGGGATCACAGAATTATTTATGTGACATTAAGGCCCTTTTGCATTGCTGAAAGAATCCATGACAAGGACATGAAAAGGTCTATGTGTCTAGAGAAAATATTTATTAATCCATTGTCTCCATTTTAAGTTTTTGAACCTCCAGTTCTACCTATTTCTTGTGTGGCTGAAATAATTTTGAATTTGCTTATTCTGTTTATATTGGGTGACTTTATTTTGCACCAAAAAAGGTCTTGCCTCAGCATTCTCAGACCACATTAAGCCAGGTTGGAGCTGGCTGGCTGAAACAGAGTGCCAGCTTGCTCTTCCATGCTGAAATGAACATAGTTCAGCAAAAACCAAACGAGAAAGAGAGAGATGATTGTACTGTTCTCCCTTCTAGGATATGGCATTGGTCTTCCCCCCAACTCTCCGCTCACCTCAAACATCTCTGACCTGATCAGCCAGTACAAATCCCATGGCTTCATGGATGTTCTGCATGACAAGTGGTACAAGGTTGTTCCCTGTGGAAAACGAAGCTTCGCCGTCACGGAGGTAAGTGATGAACTCGGGTCACCTAAGTGAGGCTTTGTGCAAGCTGACAATTATCTCCCCTCATTCCTAATGACATGCCCACATGGTAGGGATGGGTGGCAGCTGAAGAGAAGGAGGAGGCTTCAAAGGCAAGAGCTGCTGACCCAGGCAGCAGTCAGGGCAGAGCAGGAGGAGCGCATCAGTGGGACTGTGCTGCTGAGTGAGGCACCAGGGAGCTCCTCTGGACACAAGCACGGCATGAAGAGGGCAATGAAAGTCCTGATCTGGTATATTTCATAGCAAACCTGTCTGATTCTGATTCCACTCAACTGCATGTGTATCACCATCCACAGAGAGAGGGAGAGCTCAGGACATCCTGAATTTTTAATACATGCTCACCACTTCCAAACATGGGTGGCAGCTACCTGTACCAAAGATTGGATTTCAGGCAAGAAATGGTCTGCTAAGACACCATGCCACAAAAAGAGAGGGGAAGCAGGTCTCACTTCCTTGTAGATCTATGAGAAATGGAAGTAAATCTTCATGGATGTACATCCAAGTACCACATCAGAGGAGCTACGCCATTATTTATGAGAAAAAGATAACTCTTACCAGAATAGCAGTTTTTTCTCAAGTTCCCCAGACTGTCAAGTGAAAAAATGAGATAAAGTATGGAAGAATCAAAAGCACCAGCAATGTGTGAAGCTTATAGCATACTCTTTTAGCTGAAGGTCTTCCAGGAGAGATAGGTTATGTATTCTCACAGGTACAAATCAGTTAGAACTCTGCTGTCTCCTTCTCAGGCTGCTCAGTCAAATGCTAAACACACATTGGTGTTCCTTGAGGAAGTGGCAGCATTCCCCCATCAAAGAGAAGCTCAGTTTCCTGGGCTGACTCCCACTTTTTAATGGTCGACTGCAAACCTCTGGCTGCTGACTAAATCACTAGAAAGTTAACATTTTTTAGAGATACGACAAAGCAAATCTTTATTTGGCATAAATACATAATAATGTATTTATTATACATTTTAACACATAATTTGTTGGGCTATTTCTGCATGTCTTACTACATTCTTTACTTTGTGTCAAGAGGAAATAAATTATATTTTAACATCAGACATTCATAGAAGAAAATTAAATTTATTTTTATGCAACTTACTAATTTTTTCTTTCTTTTCTTATGTGACTAATTCAACACAAGAAAGCAAACTTAAATGGAAGTGTGTATTCACTTCTCTTTTTGATTTAGCTTATCTGGAGATTGTATTATCATCTAAAAAGGAAATCATCTTTTTAAAATAGCAGTTCCTTCAATGACTTCTTGTTACTCTACATTTTAACAAGTCTTTTGAATTAAATCTCAGGAAATTACAAAGTGGTAGTGTAATAAATTATCTCAAAGTTGCATAAAACTCAAAACTCTTACAGCAGAGAAAACTTACCTTCCTAATAATTCCCTAGTGATATGACAAAAGGAGCTTGCTCTGATCATGTCTTACCCTACAGCATTCATCTGGGGCTGTGTGCACTTTATTCTTAGTCATAGAATAAATTCCAGTCAAAAGTACAATTTTAATTACTACTGGTTTACTCTCGGAACATATGGTTGCTTCTTCAAGTTTGTGGAGTGAGGTGCTTAGATCCCCTGGGAGAGGCATGAGATGACCCACTGGGCTGCAGAAGTATTAGAACCTAAGTAATACCTACCTATAAAAATTGTAAATAGATGTACATATATGGGGTTTCTTGTTCAAAATGTTATCAAGAGAGGTGCATGATCAACACAATATTCCTCAAGGCCTACCAAGAAAGGGAAAGGAAGTGGGGCAAAAATCAGCTCCAGTCTGAAAAGAAAAGTCAGATTTTGCCCTGTGAATAGTTCCATGGAATTCCTTTGGGTTTTTTCCACTATTGAATAGGTTTTAACCACAGGATTTTAAGGGAGACCTTAAGCATGGGGTCACAGCTGGAGCTGTGACCATGTTTACACCATGTAAAGCATGTTGTGCTTTAATGTAATGAAGTCTTTTGAGTATAACCTCCATGTGAAGTCCAGAAAGAAGGGCAGGTGTAGCTGCTCCCAGGCTGGTTGTCTGACTATAGTCCTTATTCAGTCTTCAGCTGCACTAATTCAACAGGCACAACTGAGTTTTTGTTCAGAAACTAAAGTCCAACAAGTTCCTTCAGGTGTCTGAACTGAAGGACAGTTCATGGAGTGCAACTAGGCCAAGTGCCTGCACCTGGGTTGGGGGAATGCCAAGCCCTGATACAGGCAGGGCACAAATACAGGACAGATTGAGAGCAGCCCTGGGGAGAAGGATGTGGGGCCTTGGTGGATTAAAAGCTCAAGATGCCCTGGTGATGTGCTCTGGCAGCCCAGAAAGCCAAAGATGTCCTGGGCTGCATCACTAAAAGTGTGAGGGAGGTGATTGTGCACTTCTACTCACTCTGATGAGACCCCACCTGCAGAGCTGCTTCCAGCTCCAGGATTCTCAGCATAAGAAGGATGTGGCACTGTTGGAGGAAATCCAGAGGAGACCACAAAGGTGATCAGAGGGCCTCTGCTCTGCACCCAGGCTGGGAGAGCTGGGGGTGTTCACCTGAAGACGAGAAGGCTCCAGAGAGACCTTAGAGGCCATTCTAGTGCCTAACTGGGATCCAGGGGAGCTGAAGAGGGACTTGGACAAGAGATGGAGTAAGAAGATAAGGGGAATGGCTTTAGACTGGAAGAGGTAGGTTGAGAGGAGATAAAAGGACAAATTCAAACATTTAGGTGGTGAGGCCCTGACAGAAGTTGCCTAGAAAAACTGTGGCTACCCCACCCCTGAAAGTGTCCAAGGCCAGGGGGGACAGGGCTTGGAGAAACATGGTCTGGTTGTTGGTATCCCTGCCCAGGGATTGAAACTAGATGGTCTGTGAGGTCTCTTCAAAACCACACTATTCTAGGATTCTGTGAATAAAAAGTCACTGAAAGGTCCTTATGCAATCAGAAAGTGTGCAGAAGCAGAATACTACTTGCAAGTCTGTGCCATTTGTGGGGTAAGCTCTGCTAAGTCCAGACCTTCATTTTCCTGAGTTGCCTCATTTTTAATGCATATCCCACATGCATCCCCTCTTCTTAATCCATTCCTTTTGGCCAGGAACTTACAGATTTTAGAATGTGTGATTTCTTAGTTGGGAGAAATTTACTAAACTTAACAGCGAAGCAGCAAACACTCACCAAAGTACAGGTTCTTCCCCACTGTTACAGCAAGAAGCATGGGAATTAGTCTTGGATTTACCTTAGTGTTGGTTTGTATAATTTACTCCTGTACAGCCCAAAAATCTCTGTAACTTCATTCCCTGCACTCAGTCACAGTAGTGTTCTAGATTCACTGAAGACGGGACAATGTTCAACACAGAAGCAGATGATTCATTTTTTGAAAAAGTCTCAGCTTCTCAGTGTGTAGTCATTCACATGGATTATATACCAAAGTGAGACCCAGCAATTGCCTTTTGACAGCAAGAGTAAGACTTTTTATTCCTCTATGTTGTTTTGATAGATTTGGTCTGTGACATGCTGCACCTGTTGACCAAGAGTAATCATGCCAAAATGGGAATATATATAGGTGAAATACTGATCAGTATAGCCTTTAAATTGATGGGATATCCATCATCCCTTTTGGTCATTACCTCTTTAGCTGTGCCTGGTTCTTATCCACCTGCCACTCCTGCCCACTGACGTTTATTTTTCTATAGATTTTTTTGAGATCCATCTTCCTACTCACCATTTTTTACTTACACTGGGAAATTATATTTCCTGTGGCAGAACTCATTGCTAGCTCTTCCCATCTCTCTCTATCTGGCAGTGGATGAGCACTTTGCTTATTCTAAATCACATTTCAAAACAAAGTTGTCCTGGAAAGAAATTATTCAGCCTGGTGCTGGAAGGTTTCAGTGACTCTTCTAGATGGTAAACCAATAAAGATGGTTTATTTTCTGATATTGCAGAGCTCAGAAGTGCTTGACTCTGCTGTTTTGTATCAACTTCTCCAGCAAAACCACTTACCCAAGGCATCTGACCCTGACCATCACCCACTGGATCAGGTCTATGGAACATGCACCTAGATCAGGCTTGGAAAGAGCACTGCAGTGAATTTCACTTTACCCTCTCCACTGCAGGTAATTGTGGGTGGCAGTGGCAGTTCTTGGTGAGTGTTAGCCTCTAGCAATATTGCTGAAATACTCTTGGTTTAAAATTGTCATGTTTAAGTTTCAAAGGAATGCCTTTGTGGCCATATTGCTGAGCTCCCTACTGATGGTGGAACATGGTGCAGGAAGGATGAGGGATTGACAGAGTTATATTTGTACATGGTATCTGGGCATAATCAATGTAATCTGTTTTTATTTTGCATACAGTACACTCAGCTCTTCCTCTACCCTATTGTTATCCTCAGTGGTGCCTCTTCAGAAGGAGCCAGGCTCTTGGGACTTGCCTTTCCATCCCATTAGCTCCACCCAAGCTCAGAATAGACTGCAGAGAGAAGGTTTTTACAAAGAGGGTGGAAAATCAGAAAGTGAGCAGAATGTTTCCCAGAGGAGTGGGGGATGTCCCATCCCTGAAAGTGTCCAACCATCCCTGGAGGTATCCAAGGCTCTGAGCAAGCTGTTCTAATTGAATATGGCCCTGATCATTGTGGGGCAGTTGGACCAGGTGGCCTTGAAAGATCCCTTTCAACTCAAACCAGTCCATGAGTCTGTGATTTTTGAGAACCAAAAATTTTGCAATTTTCTGCTCCTGGCTGCAAAGCAGCTCTGGAACTCGGCCAGCGGGGCAGCAGGCAGGGGTACCCCTGAAAGGAAAAATGCCCGTAGTCAGTGGGTTTGGCTGCTCAGGGCAGGCAGTGATGACCAGGGTAGAGTTTATCAAGACAGTACAAAAAAGAAGAGCCCTTCCTGGTCCATGCTTTTGGAGAAGCTAATTAAGTGTGCACAATCTTTCACAGCTTTTTAGCTATGTTTTAAAAAATGTTACTCTGGACA